GAATGTTTCAATGGTCATTTTCCACGAAGGTCCAACGTCAAAGGAGCGAGGAGCAAAGGATCACAAGAGTCACAAGGAAATACGATGCTTTAACGATCTTTAAGAATCACATGGAACAATCTCCAACTCTTTGTAGGAAAGATAATGGTGTTCATTATTCAAGTTTATTGAATTTTTCACGGAATCATATTTCGGGCCCTGGAAAATTCAAAAATTGGCGATCTCCCTGTGACTTTCGTACAGACTCGTAAATTTGATCGTCCCCTTGTGACCCTCTCAGTTTGACCCTTGTGAAAATTAACCGTCCCCTTGTGTCGGTTAACTGCCGTGACATTTGACCGTCTCCTTGTGGCCCTCGTGAAAATTTGCCCCTCGTGGAATTTGACCATCCCCTTATGACCCTTGTGAAATTTGACCATCTCGTGGTGACCCTCGTGACGTTTGACCCTTGTGAAATTTGACCATCCCCTTGTGACCCTCGTGCTGTTTGACCCTCGTGAAATTTGATCGTCTCCTTGTTTCGCTCGTCACGTTTGACACTTGTGAACCTTGTTTCCATGTGACCCTTGTGACTTTTGACCCTTGTAAAATTTGATCATCCCCTTGTGACCCCCGTGACCTTTGGCTTTCGTGAAATTTAGGCATTCCCTTATGACTCTCGTGACGTTTGACTCTCGTGAAATTTGACCATCCCCTTGTGACCCTCGTGCTGTTTGACCCTCGGGAAATTTGATCGTCCCCTTGTGACTCTTGTGACTTTTAATCCGTGTGAAACTTGATCGTCTCAATGTGACCCTTGTAACTTTTGACCTTCGTGAAATTTGATCATCCCCTTGTGACCTTCGTGACGTTCGACCCTCGTGATGTTTGACCCTCTTGAAATTTGACCATCCTCTTGTGATCCTTTTGTCCCTTCTGATATTTTGACCCCGATGAATCATCTTATTCTTGTGACCTCCCTGGTCTTTAAATCCCTTATGAATATTTTTTAGATTAATTTTTTTTCTCATTACTTGTCCCTGAGAAAATATCGATCCCAACCCAGAAATATCGATACACCCAATATCGCGATGCGCAAATAT